CGAGGACCATCGAGGACCATCCTGGACCATCGAGCAACAAAAACGCGCACGAAACCGAAAAATGCACGGGAAATGGGCGTCCGAGCGATGGCGAGGGAAGGTGGACTTGTATTTACTGTGTCTCAGCGGATGGCCGTGGGAGCCGCTGGCAGTCATTTAGCGTTCGGGGTGGGGTGGGGCCTTCGTCGGCACGGCTGGGCGCAGCTCTAGGAGGTGGCTAGACTTCCTGCCTTGACACGTCGATGAAGGAATTGGTCGTTTGCGGTTCGCGGGAGGCGTTGCGGCCGTCATGTTTGCGGGTCCAGGTTCGGTCCCAGTCCGTTTTCATTAAAGGGAGGTTTGCTAAAGGGAGGTTTGTCCACCGCCGAAGCTCGGAAAAGTGGTGCGTCTGGAACCCAGGAGGGGCCTGGGGACCGATGGTGGGCCGATCTCGAGCCTCCAGTGCCTCAACGCGTCCTTCTCCGATGATCTGCCTCGGCACCCGGGCTCGAATGCTGACATGTGCAGCCATCCGTCGGCGTGAGGCCCGAACCCGTCGAGGGAACAAGGGCACGCAGCTGCGTGGCCCAGAGTGCTGCCCGAGCTATCGAAGAATCCCTGCTGCGCGCGAGTGTTGCGACATTCTCCTTCTCTTGCCCACTAGACTAGGGGAGCGAAGAATGACATAAACATAAAAACTCGGAGGTACGCGCTGATTTCTCGGATCGGCGCTGGACCCTCCTCCCTGGCGCGCGGAGCGCGCCAAGGGCGGCGCCTGAGGCGCCGCCAGGAGGGTCCAGCGCGGATCCGAGAAATCCGCGCGGAGCTCGGATTTTTTGTCTTTGTCATTCTTCGTCCCCCCAACTAAACTGCGGTCCCTGTACACGGCTGGCCATGGTTTTTGCGGTCATGCCGCGCACTTGCCGCCAGCCATGATTTGCGCCCCCCCCCCCTTGGATGTCCCCATCCCCAGAGATCCGATGTCGTGATTTTTTCAGCACGGGGTCCCCGAAAATCTCGACCCATTCCCCGGGACCAGTTTTTCATCCTGAGTCGTTTCTGACGGTCCTGGGGCCCGGCGAGGGTCCCCAGAAGCCGACAACGAGAAACAACATATTAGTTTTTTTGATGTTTCAATACGTTGGATCTCTTGTCAAGCAATGGCGAATCGTCCTGGCTCGCCTATAGCCCTACCGAACAATGTTCTAAGAACCTTTCTGCTGGTTTCCACGAGCTGTTCTTAGAACATTGCTGGCTGGGATACTCTTGGTCTGCCACATCGGCTCAACGTTCTAAGAGCCTTGTTTTTGTGCTCGAACATTCTTGGGCTCGGAGAACACTCCGTGGCAGGACTGGAAGAATGCCGCGAGTGTCGGCTTGATGTTCTGAGAGCCTTGTTCTTGCTCTGGAACATCTTTGGGTTCTGAGAATATTCAGGAGGGAAAGAAACACACAGACACAATTAATCGTCGACTCCCAGGAAAATATGCAAAAATATGGGAAGTGGTGGGGAAGACAAAAACCCAGAAAATATGGGAAAATATGGGGGATATTTTTATTTGTGTGTATTTATTTGTGTGTTCCAGTTCCCCTTCAAATATTTCGTGGTATAGGACCACAGGAATGCCGCGACGGTCGGTCCCTGCTCCATCCTGGCCTCTGGCCGCCCCCGGTGGACTGACTGCGGCCTCCGTGCGCCCGCCTGCCGCGCGGCCTGCCGTGGCCTTCCCGGGGGCCGGCCCGCGGCCCCCCTCCCCGGCGGCTGCGGGGGGGGGGGCGCCTCCCCTCCATAGGACCCAGACCCCCTCGAGTAATGAAAAAATCATGACGGGAGGTTTTTCCTAATTTTCGGCCTCCGGGGGCCCTCGCCGGGCCTCGGGACCGTCAAAAAACGACTCGGGGTGAAACACCGGTCCCGGCGAAGAGGTCCGGACCTCTGGGGGCCGCGTCATGAAAAAATCATGACGTCGGGGGTCTGGGGGGGGGGGGGGCGCCGGGCACGGGCGCCGCCGCGCGCCGGCCCCCGCCGGGCGCAGCAGCGACGCGAGGGTGTGATTTCGAGTGTCTTTTGGTGTGTATCGTGTCTCTGCTTTGGTTTTTGCGTGTGTGTGCTTTTTGTGTTTTGTGTGTGTTTTGTGCTCTTGTGTTTTTTGTTCTCTCTGTGTTTCGTTGTTTTGTTTTGTGTGTGCTTTGCTTTTTTTGTGTCATTATCTTTTCTGTTTGTTTGCTTGTTTTCCCCCCCGAGACTGCAGAAGCAGTTCCTCTTCTCCGAAGACTCGGGGGTGGACAGACCTCCTACCCTGACCCGTCGAGTAAGGAATTGGCCGTCTTCGGTCCGCCAGAGGGCGTCGCGGCCGTCATCTTTGCGGGTCCAGGTCCGTCGGTTTCGGTCCGTTTTCACTAAGGGGAGGTCTACTAAAGAGACGCTTGCCCACCGCCGAAAGACGGCGCGGCCGGCTCTCCGGGGCGCACAGCGCGTCGCCGGCCAGGGCCGCAGCAGCCCGCGCGCGGAGCAGCGGCCCTCGCCGCCGTGCTCCTGCCGGGCTGCAGCCCCTGCGGGCCGGCTGGCCTGTGTGCCCCACCGAGTGGCGGGCTCCTCTGGAGGAGGAGGAGGAGGAGGAGGAGGAGGAGGAGGAGGAGGAGGAGGAGGAGGAGGATGTCGGGGGCGGCCAGGAGGGGGGTGATGACTGGAGCTGTCGTGGCCGGGGCCGTGGCGTCCTCCGGCTCTCTCGGCCCGCCTCGTGGCCCGGGCCACGGCGTCTCGGCCGCGCGCGGAGGGAGGGGGAAAGGCTGCCCATCAGGAGAGGAAACACACACACAATGAATCGTCGATTCCCAGGAAAATGCGCCAAACTATGGGGAGTGGGAGGGGGAAACAAAAGCCCAGAAGAGATGGGGAAATTAAATATGAGGGATCTTTGTTTGTTTGTGTGTATTTGTTTGTGTGTCCCAGGGCCCCTTCAGCTTAGAAGCACCCCTGCTCCTCAGAAGGCGCGGGCCTCCTCTACAGATGTGAGGCCGGCGCCTTCTGAGAAGCAGCCTCCTTCCCTCCGCCTCCATCTTCCATACCTTCCGATCTCTGCGGAAGGCACGGAAGGTGATGCTTGAATCTATGGAAAGCCTCAGGAATCGCCAGAAAATTCGGTGTTCCACGGAGCGCAAGAGTGTGGAAGGTCAGCACGGAAGGTCTGGAAGAATGCGGGTGAGGGTGAGGGCGAGGGTTCAAGAAGCCTCCCCCCTCCCGTACCCCCTTCTGTCTCTGCGCGCCGCCAACGGCACCCTCCAGACGTCCCGCCCGCCCTCGTCTTCTCTCGACCTGCGCGCGCCCGGGGGCCCCCCGCGCGCCCTGCCCCCTCTCCCCCCCCCCCCTCGCCCCTCCCTCGGGGGGGGGGGGAGATGACACACAGACACAACGCGTGGTCGATTCCCAAGGAAAAATGAGCAAACATGTCGGAATGGGGGGGAGACGAAAATCCAGACAGCATGAGAAATATGGGGAGTCTTGGAATATGCCTGTATTTCTTTGTGTGTCCCTGGGCGCCTTCATTCTCGGCGCACCCGAGGTGGGGAGCGCGGGGTCGTGGAACGCCAGCCGACTGTTCGTCACCAAGCGAGTCGTTAGTTTGCGAGTAGTGGAGCGCGCTTGTCTGGCTCAGTGGGCGAAGAACTGTATGAAGCCACGGCTTTCAGCCCCCAGGGACGCCTGTCCCGGGGCGGCCGAAAAGGTTATGCCCCGACGGTTCCAGACCACCTTGTCCAGTCGCCCTAGAGGCCAGGCGTCCCCGCTGGCGGAGCGGTTTGTTGTTTTTGATATCAACGCCCGCTAGGTTGTGCTGTACAGTGGGGGCCCATGCCAAGAAACACCCTGCTTGCCTCCAGGGTGCTCTGGGGTCTCAGGGTTGGGCGTCTTGTGGAAGGTTTCTTGTGGATTGGCCTCCACTGTGACACCGGTCTTCGTTTTGCGTCCGCTTGTTTAGTTCAGCGGGTGAAGAGCCACGGGTTTCAGCCACCACGGACGCCTGTCCCAGGGCGGCCAGAAAAATTATGCCCTGGTGGTGCCACCACACTGTCCGGCCGCCCTATAGGTCAGGCGTCCCCGCTGGCGGAACAGTTTTGCTTTTTGGATATCTACGTCCGTTGGGCTGTGCTGCAACACCCGTCTTCATTCTTCGTTCTTCGTCCGCTGCACTGTGCGCTGACACCGAGCAGGGCTCGGGTCGGGCGAGGGGGCCGATCTGGACGGGGAGGAGCCTGCAGCTGGTTTTTCGGCCCCGGAGGCTCTCTCGATGCACGGGCGCCTCTCCAGGGCACTTGTCCACCCCCATGTCGGGGGCTCCCAAACGGTGTGGTGACCACACCGTGTGGTGCGTCGGTGTGGATTCGGGGTCACCGCACGGTTTTGGGACTTGGGTCGTTCTCCGAGGATGTCTCGGGCGACTGGAGCCTCCAGGGTCCCAAAACCGTGTGGTGACGGACCGTGCGGTGAGGTCTTTGCTGATTTCGAGGTCACCGCCGGGTCTGTCACCACACGGTTTTGGGACACCCAACCATGCCCCCCTCTCCCCTCTCCGTCCTCCTGCTCCTCGTCCACTCGTCCGCCTCCTCTGCCTCCGCTCTCTTTCTCCTCAGCATCCCGCCTTCGCTTCCTCTTCTTTCTCACTCCTTATCTCAGGAGGGGAAAAAACACGCAGACACAATTAATCCTCGATTCCCCAGAAAGTATGGGAAAATATGGGACGTGGGGAGGGAAGACAGAAACCCAGAATCTACAGGAAAATATGGGGAATATTTTTATTTGTGTGTATTTATTTGTGTGTCCCAGGGCCCCTTCATCCATCTCCTCCCGCTTGCCCCTCCCCTCCCGCCCCCCCTCCTGCCCCCCCTCCCGGCCCGTCCCCCCCTCTCTGGCGCCACCTCGCCCTCTCCCGCTGCCCCCTCGCCGCCGACGGCAGCGAGAACGACGACGACCACGACAGCGACGACGACGACGACGACGACGACGACGACGACGAGCCCGGCAGGACGTCGAGTTCATCATGCGTTTCTTGCGCGACCCCGAGGCCCCCCCCCCCCCCCTCCTGGCTCCTTCTCTCCCCCGCTTGTCCTGCCCCTCCTGCCGCTGCTCTTCCTCCCCCGTGCTCCTCTGCCTCCTCCCCCCCCTCCTTCCCATTCACTCCTCCTCCTCCTCCTCCTCCTCCTCCTCCTCCTCCTCCTTCCTCTTCCGCTCTGCTCCAGGAGTGTGCCGGGGAGGGGGGTGAGCCCTTCCTGAGAGGGGTCGGTCGTCCCCCCCCCTCCTGCTCCTCCTGCTGAGGCTGGTGCTGCCGCCGCCGCTGCTGCTGCCCCCTCCTCGTCCCCCGTGCCCGATCTTGTCGACAGCTGGGCTAGCCGCCCATAGTGGTATGCCTGGAGGTGCAGTTATGTGCTGGTCCTCGCTGTCTTCGTGGCCAGAAGGGAGCGTCCAACGCCATCCTTCCGACTCGGTCGTTGGTGGCAGGTTCCTCTTTATGGGGTGCGGTCAGCCAAGCTCTTCCTGCACCCCCTGCTGCAGCGCGCTCAGTCCAGAGCGGATTTTATTACATTTTGTATATTCATCGACGATCTTGTGTTGCGTTCAGAAGGACCGCAGGATGAGGTAAATACTCGCATGGTCACGTCTGCTGCTGAGTTCAAGCAGGGTTTGGACACTATGCGTTTGGTTGTCTCTTCTAAGACGGTGCTCATTTTTAATGTGGTCAGCTTGGGCAAAAAGTTGGCCAAGAAGCTCCGTCGTCAGTCCATTCCAGTTCAGTATTGTTTGGAAGCGGTAGATCTTGGTGTTGATGCTACTGGCGGTGGACGGAGGACGGTTCGCAAGTCTTCCCAACGCGCTGCTAACGCTGCTCGCCGTGCTGCTCGTCTGCAGCGTTTTCGGCGTCATGCTCGGCTCCGCAAGGTCTCGCAGGGCCTGTGGAAGACTGGAGCATTGCCGCAGGCCGCATATGGCTATCAAGTTCATGGTCTTGCACCCTGCCAGCTCCTTCGCCTTCGACGCCAAGCGGCCACGGCAGGGGCAGGCCCGTTGAAGGGCAGGTGCTTGACCATCACATCCGCCATACTGTATGGTCAGAAAGACCACGCCTTGGAGCTGAGACGCCAGCTTCTGGCGCCTTCACCCTGAACTTCACCAGAGAGTGGAAACATCTTGGCCTCAAGTTCTTCGGCGCCTGGAGATTGTTGGGCAGTCAGGGCGATGGTGATTGGTCAAGGGACCAGTGTCTGCAGTGATTGCCACGTTGCTTGATGCGGGCTGGAAGCCCTCCTCAGCTATTTCCTGGTGGCGCCCAGAGCATGGTGGATTAGCTGAGTGGAAGATTCCCACATCGTCTCTGGATGGGTTTTCTGGCGATGAGATGGATGTTGGCGGCGTGCTTGAAGAAGTTACGCTTGATTTTCACGCTCAGCTTTGGGCCCGAGCTGCTGAGCACGAGGGAGCCGAAGATCTCGCAGGAGGTGCTGATCTCTATTGGGCCCGCCGAGAGTTCGTCAAGTTCTCGGGGAATGGGGATTGCGACCAGGCTGGCCAGACACTTTGCGTGTCTGCTGGGGCGCAGTGGCCGCGCGCGCGCCAGTTCCCTACGGGCACGGAGGAGCCGCAGCTGTGCCCCAGGTGTCTGAAGGCGCCTGAGACTTTGAGGCACCGCGTCTGGGAGTGCGAGTGTAATAAGGATCATGAGGAGTATTCCTTGTCCGCTCCCCTAGTGCCTCAAGCACTTGTTAATTGTGATATGAATCCTGCCTTGTGGCTTAGAGGAGTTCCCCCGACCAACCATACTCACCCTGAGTTAAGCGGAGGGTTTGAAACCTCTCGGTTCGACGTCCTTGATCGATATGTCCTCTGTTCGCTCTGAACCCCTGGTCGTTTTTGGGGACTGCTCGGGAGGGCGTTTTTCCTCCGACCCTCGTCGCCGCCGTTGTGGCGCGGCTGCTGTTTCGGTCAGGAGGATCCCAGGGGCGTCGACGTGGGAAGTGGTCGGGGGTGTTTCTGGAATTGTAGTGGGAAGAACCCAAACGGTCCCCCGCTCAGAGTTGCTGGCGTCCGCCTTGTGCCTTGAGGGCACCACTGGCCCCGTTCATTATGCCACGGACCATTTTCCTTTGATTACTGGTTGGGAGCGGGGTCGGGCCAGCGCGGTGGGCGGGAGAAGCTGGGATTTGTGGCTCCGAATTCAGACCGCTCTCGCTTCGCGAGGTGATGGTTTAGTCACCTTGGAGTGGACGGCTTCCCACTTGGACACTGAATCGGAGGGCCTGACGGCCCGCCAGGTTTTCCTCTGGTCTGGAAATCAACTTGCGGACCGCGCGGCCTCTGAGGCTGCGGGGCGTTCCTGGCACCTTTCGGCCCGTTCGGACCCTCGTACTGATTTCTGGGATGCTCAGACAGCCCTAATTAGAAGACGCGCGCGGCGCGCCCTGATCGACTTGTCCTCGGCCGACCCCAGGAAGACCCGCCCTTCTGTTGCGCCCTTGGAGAGAGCGAGGCAGGGGTCGAAGTTGGATCGGGCGCTTCGCGTATCCCCTCATAAGTTTGTGACCTTCGGCAGCGCGTTTCGTTGCAGGAGTTGCGAGGTGCAGTGTGATAAGAAGGACCTCTTAGTGGTCTCCAAGGCGCCTTGCATCCCTGCTGTGGGGGTGGATTCCTTCCCCTTCCGACGTTGTCGTGGAGGTCCTTGGGCCCGTCGCGCTTTCTGGTGCGGTCTTGCATCCGTCCCACAAGTTTGCGCTTTGGGATTTGCATAGTTTGTATGTTTGCCAGAGTTGTGGCCGAACGGCTACTTCGGACGGGCGCCAGCTGGCGCTCCAATTTAAAGTGCCTTCACGCAAGGGCATCGAAAATCTGGCCCGAATTCGTAGAGGTTTGTACCCGAGTTACGCAGGCCCGTCCAAGGCGAGTGTCCTGCTTCGCCACGCTCGGTTTTCTGCCGCGGCCGATCAGCGAGCTCGAGCGCGAGACCCCATCCCGTTGGAATTGATTGTGCTTCAGGGCGTCGGAGAGGCTGTGGCTGTTGGTGAGGACGTGGCCCCTCTCGTCCCTCTTTCGGTTGACCCTTGCAGCGATTCGGATTAAAGTTATGCACATGCGCTCCTGCTTGCTGCTTCTCTCTCTCTCTCTCGCCCTGCCCGCCCTCGTTGCACGAAGTTGCTTGCGAAAAAAACGTACCAAAAACGTCCTTCTCTTCCCCGTCCTCCTCTTCTTCCTCCTCCTCCTCCTCGTCCCTGGTGGATGCCCCGTTGGAGCAGATTCCTGACGGTGCTGCCGTCGATGCTGATCTGCGTGTTCGCTGTTGTGAGGCTTGCGGGGCCTCGGCTGCCAGGTTCTGGAGCAGGGGCATGCCCGGGGCTCGACGCCAGGTGTCTAGTCAGCCGGAACCCTGGGCCCAGGACCCAAAGAGCCCGTCTCAGGAAACTCCAGCATTACCCTGGCAGGCTCCACGCCCGCCTCGGCGAGGTCCGTGCGCCGTCCCGGGCGCTGTTGGACCACTGGTCGAACGTGCTGCCGTCGCCAGACGGCACCAAGGGCGGGGACGGGGACTGCCTGGCATCGGGGTGGGGGGGAGGGTACGGCCTGGCCTGGCTGCCGCCGCTGATCGACTTTGAGGTTGCGCATCGAATCTGCATGAGTTGTGCGATGCCTCCGCAGTCGTGACATCTGTCAACGAACAGCGGTGTCTCCGTAGGGAGGCTGGGTTACACGAGCTTGGGTTCTCCGACGGGGAGGATTCACTCATTGCTCAACTCATTGCTTGCGCCCGCTGTGGCGAGCGAGGTGCGACTTCGAGCTGGTCTCATAGTCTCATAGCCTTCCTCCTCAGCTTCCCTCCTTTTTCTTCTCACTCCCTTCCGCTTCTACTGCCCCCCTCCTCCATCCTACTGCTCCTCCTACCTCATCTGTCCTCGCCAGCCCCTTCTCTGTCATCCGTTTTTCCCGCCGCGCGCCGCAGTGCGAGCGGCCGTCGTGTGGCGCGGTCGTCGCGCCGCGCGGGCGCGGACGACAACGTCGACGACCACGACGATGACGTTGATCAACGCCCCGGCGACGACCAAGCTGGCGACGACAATGGCGACGGCGACGAAGGAGACGAGGGTGAGGGGGTGACGATGATGGGAAGTTGGGCGACGAGGAGGGGGAGGAGGAGGAGGAGGAGGAGGAGGAGGAGGAGGAGGAGGAGGAGGAAGAGGAGGAGGAGGAGGAGAAGGAGGAGGAGGACGAGGACGAGGACGAGGACGAGGACGAGGACGAGGAGAAGGAGGAGGAGGAGGAGGAGGAGGAGGAGGAGAGGAGAGGAGGAGAGGAGGAGGAGGAGGACGAGGACGAGGACGAGACGAGGACGAGGAGGAAGAGGAGGAGGAAAAGGAGGAGGGGGGAGGAGGAGGAGGAGGATGGATGAGGAGGAGGAGGAAGCAGAAAAGGAGGAGGAGGAGGAGGTGGAAGATAAGGAGGAGGATGAGGAAAGGACGAGGACGAGGAGGAGGAGGAGGAAGAGGAGGAGGAGGTTGAGGAGGAGGAGGAGAAGGAGGAGAAGGAGGAGGAGGAGGGGAGAGGCAATACGCGGAGGAGCAGGATGAGGCAGGGAGGACGCCGTTCGATGGGGTGCCCGACGACACAGGAGGTGAAGGGGGGAAGGCGAACGGGTGGAGGGGAGGTGTGCGCGAACGGCAGAGGCAATGCCGGAAGAGGGAGGAGGAGAGAGAGGTGGACGGGAGTGGAGCAGCAGAGGGAAAGGGAAAGAGGGGGGGCGGATCGCTGCTGGCTGCGAGGGTGTATGAAGGGAACCGATCGCGAGTACCCTGTGGCTCGCCCCGCGAGCCTGGGAGGCGCCCTCGAACAGGTCAGCGTGTCTTCCGGGCCACGGGCTGCTCTTCGGAGCTCCCCTCGTCCTCATCCTCCTCGTCCTCGTCCTGTTCGTCCTCTTGCACCTCCTGCTGATCGCATATTTCGCGCCCTCGTTCTCCTCCGCCAGATCCTCCTCCTCATCATCATCACCCTCCTCCTCCGCCTCGTCCTCATTCTGCTCGTCTTCCCCCTATTCCTCTTCTTCCTCCTCCTCGATGTCCTTGCGAGTCCCTCACTAGTCCTCCCTCTCAGACGGGGAGGAGGGGGATGCTGGAGATGAGGGGAGGGGGGGAGGAGGGGTGGGAGGGGAGACGTCAGGAAGGGACGGGGGATGGAGGGAGAGGCGGAGCGAGGGGAGGGGAGGGGAGGGGAGGGAGGGCGGAAACGAGGGAGGGAGGGGAGGAGGGAGGGGGGAGGAGGGAGGGAGAGAGGGGAAAGGACAGGCGCATGACATGAATTCTGACATCCCTCCACGAGGCGCGCGCGGTGGCAGCGGCTGGGCCTTCGGGCAGTGCACTCCTCCCAGAGGCAGCTGCTGGACCGCCTGCTCCGCGACGCGGAGCTCGTCCTCGATGGGGCTCGGTACCTCCAGGGACGCGCCCCGGGAGCCCTTCCTCGATGCGGCCCGCCACGTGCACCAGCACGCCCGTCGGGGAGCGTTTCTGCCTTGTGCTCCTCGATGCGGAGCTCGTCCTCAGTGGGGTCCTGCACCTCCAGGGCTCACCCGCCAGGAGCTCTGCCTCGACGAGGCCCGTCGGGTGCACCAGCACGCCCGTCGGCAGCGCTTCTGCTTCCAGCTTCTCGATGCAAGGTCTCGTCCTAGATGGGGCTGCGGGACTCGGTACCTCCAGAGACGCGCCCCACCGAGAGCCCTTCCTCGATGCGGCCCGTCACGTGCACCAGCACCCCCGTCGGGAGCGCTTCTGCTTCCTGCTCCTCGAGACAAAGCTCGTCCTCGATGAGGCTCTGCACCGTCAGAGACGCGCCCCACCGAGAGCTCTTCGCCAGTGGGGCCCGTCGCCTGCAGGACCCCACGCCAAGCCCGGCCCCGATGAGGGTCTGCACCCGCAGGCTGACGTGCAGTGAGCCGTCCTGCACCCGCTGCCTCGCTCGGGCCCGGGCGGTCCTGCAGTCTCTCCGGCACATCAGGGCTGAACCTCAACGGTGCTTCTGGCGATTTCGTGGGCCGTTTTTCGTCTCGACGTCGTTCTGCGGTAGAGGCGGATTCGAGGCCAAAGCGAGGGAAAGCGAAGACAAAATCGCAGGTCTAGAGGTTGACACCAACACCAAGATCGGCGGTGTGCCTCCACCGAGGGAGGACGATCCCAATCTCGGTGATGGTGTCAATATTTTGGTTTCCAAGGTGGCCGAAATATTACCGCCAACACCGCAATCTAGGATCAGTTTCCCCACGTGGAGGCAACCTCTTGTGCTGGTGTTGGCGCCAATTTCCAGGCCTCCAACAAAACGGAAACGAAGAAACACCGTTTTGGGTTCAGCCCTGTGGGCACACGTCCGGCTGGCCATCCGGGTCATATGCTGCACTTCGTGCGGGCCCCGCTGCTGCTCCCAGCCCTCGAGTGCCGCCGGAGCCTCCCGCAGTCCCCCATCTTGGGTGGGGGGGGGGCGAGGGGGAGGAGGACGAGGAGGACGAGGAGGACGAGGAGGAGGAGGAGGAGGAGGAGGAGGAGGAGGAGGATGGGGAGGAATGAAGAGGAAAGCAGACCGTGAACCGCGAAGCGCGAATCACTTCGCGGCCTCGTGGCGGCTCTTGCTTGCACGCTCTGCAGGCCTATGTGGGTGAGGGTGGTTCGAAAAGGTACCCAAACGGTACCTAAACGAGCCCCCTGGGGCTCTGGAGGGGCCCGAAAGGGGCACGACAGGGGACCTTTTCTGATCCCCCCATTTGTGACCCCCCCAATAAGCCACGCCCAACCATCGAAGCCTTTGGAGGCTGCCTCGAACTCCTTTCGCATCCTGCGCCATGGACTTCAACAAGGCTTCCCACTCCGAGGCGGGAATTGATCCATATCCACGGCCTGGAGGGTCAGTTTTCGGAGCCTCGGCTGGCGGTGGATATGGACACATTCGGGCCCCAGGACGTCGGTTCCACCGCCTGCTGGGGCACCAGGACGTCGGTTCCCAGGCGGTGGATATGGATAAATCCCCGCCTCGCATTTCTCATCCTGCGCCATGGGCTTCAAGAAGGCGTCCCACGTCCTGCCGATGCAGAGCCCCTCCCTGCACCTCGCCAGTGCGATCGCCTGTGGCAGGTCGGCGCACGTGTCAGTCCAGTCTGCCTGGCGACCTGCCTTGAGAGTTTGCCAGCTGGACCAGGGGTGGACCTAAACGGTGTTTTGGCGATTTCGTGGGCCGTTTTCGTTTCGATTTCGTTTTGCGGTAAAGGCGGATTGAAGACATAACGAGGGAAAACGAAAACGAAAACGAAACACACTTGCTGCATCTCATCGTGTCTGCGCACCTGCCTCGGTAACCTGACGAGCAAAGACCAGAGGATATATATATATATATATAGATATATAAGCCTCGTGTGGCCGTGTTGGATGCGAAATCCACGCCTCAGCCGAGGGCCCAGAGACGTCGGCAGCTTCTGCGCCCTTGGGCGGCGGGGCATGCCGCGCCCAGCTGGTCCGCCCTGGGTTTTCGCGGGCCTCGCGCACCCCCCCCCCCCCCCCGCCATGCCCAACACCTCGCCCGCGCGGAAGCCAGGCGAAGGCTGGCAAACCCGAGGCTGCTAAAACGGAGCTCCGGGAAGTTGTTTGTTGTTTTTTCTCTCCCGGCAAGCAGCCCGTTTACTATTTAGCGCGCTGAGTTTTTTTTATGGGGATTTGTTTTTGGTCTTCCAGGAAGACCGTGTTTGCAGCCACGCATTTTGCCAGCCCTCGCCTAGTTTCCGAGCATGGCGTCGGCGAGCATGGGCGTGTGCCTGGCCAGCGCGTCGCCAGGCCGCTGGCGCGCCTCCAGCGGCCAGCGCTGGAGGGCGGTTTTTACCAGCCTGGAACATATACCTATCCCTATGCTGGGCACCTCCTCATCACGATGCCAATCTTAGGCATTCCCTTATTTTTTGAGGGCGCATCCTTAAGATTGTCATCGCTTTTTGGCATGTCAATCTTGGGGATAGGGATATGTTCGAAGCTGGTAAGGTTTGGCGCCGCAGGGCTGCCGAGCTGGAGGGACCTGCCGCCGCGCGCCGGCAGCGCCTCAGCAGGGCGGCCGGCGTGCCTGCTGAGGTCACTGCTGACGACCGAACGACTCTCTCTCTCACTTGGCATCGCTCGGACGTGTGCACTTTTTTCCTTCGGCGAAGACCATCGAGGAGCATCCTTGATCATTTGACGAAAACCAACCACGGACGAAGCCGAAAATGACACCGGAGAAAACCCCAATCCGATTTTTGTTGGGGCTATAGGGCTGTAGGGCTATAAAGCTATAAGGTGATGAGGCTATAGGGCAATTGGGCTATTGGGCTATAGGGCTATAAGGCTATAGGGCTATAAGGCTGTAGAGCTAAAGGGCTGTAGGGCTATAAGGCAATGGGGCTATAGGGCTGTAGGGCTATAGGGCTATTGGGCTATTGGGCTATAGGGCTATAGGGCTATGGGGCTATAAAACTATAGGGCTATAGAGCTATAGGGCTATTGGGCTATTGGGCTATATGCTATTGGGCTTTTGGGCACCCCGGGCACCCTGGCACCCGGGCACCCGGGCCCAGCCACCGAAATTGGCGACCAACTTCACCGGCCACCCGGGCACCCGGGCACCGCCGGGCACCCGGGCACCCCCGGGCACCCGGGCCCGGCCACCGAAATCGGCCGCACCTCTCACCTAAACCTTTAATCCGCTATGACCCCTACAGAGGCAAGCTCAAGGGGGGCTCCCGTTCGAGCGGGGACCCCCTCCTCGTCCCCCCTATGGGTATGGGTGCGTGCTGTTCATGGGTCAACTGCCCACTCAAGCTGCTCTGGCCTTCCAATTGCCTTGCCTCTAGCGCGGCATGCGCGGACGCGGCGCCCTGCAAAGGCCTCCCGCCGACGGCTCATGGGAGCCAGAATGGCTACGGGGACTGCGTGAGTGAGAGCATTCGCGATGCGAGTCAAAAGGAACCTGCGAGCGCTTACGAGTGAGCATCTCGGCCTTACTTAAAGCCTTGGGCCATCGATCGGACTTGATCCGATTTGGATACTCAGCTCGATTCCCATTCGTGCGCCTGAGAATTCCTTGACCGCGGTTCCTGAATGGCTAATGGGAGGGAGGGAAGGGAGAGGCAGGGCAGGGGAGGGGTTGACAGGGGGGGAGGAGAAGCTGGGAGGGGAGTCGAGGGGAGAGGGGGGCGGGGAAAGAGGGAGGGCGGGAAGGAGGGGGGAAAGAGGAGGGGGGGGCATGGAGCATGGAGGTGATGGAGGAGAGGAGGGGCGCGGAAGAGGGAGGGGGATGGAGGTAGAAAGCAGGAGGGGTTGGAGTGGGGGCGAGGGAAGGGAGTGGAGAAGGAGGGAGGGGGGCCTCCGTTTTTGCGGGCACCGGAGCCCCGAAGTGGGCCCCCGGAGGCCCAGACTGAGAAAAGCCGGCCGCGGCAGCTGTCTTCCTCGGGCACGACGGGGGTCCGAGCACACCCAGCCACGCGCAGAGGGGGGGTGGTGGAGGGGGGGGGGGGAGGGCTTCCTGGAAGCTCCCCCGCTCTTCAGTATGCGCGGACCCGCCTCCTAAGAAGCTCTCCTCATTCTCTCCCCCCCCTGGTGTGCGCATTCAGCACACGTGAGGAGGAGGAGGAGGAGGAGGAGGAGGAGGTGGGGAGGAGTAGGAGGAGGAGGTGGGGAGGAGTAGGAGGAGGAGGAGGAGCAGGAGGAGGTGACCCCCTCCGCTGTGAAGGCGTGGCAGCTCGACGAGGACACGATCGTCACGGCTGCGCTCGAGACGAAGGCGCGCGCCCTTTTCCTGCGCACGCGCGCGGGGCCGGGGCGCGCTTGGTGCCAAGAGGGTCTTCTTCCTCCTGCTCCTCCTCCTCCTTTTCCTCCTCCTCCTCCTTCTTCCTCCTGCTCCTCCTCCTCCTCCTTTTCCTCCTCCTCCGTGTGGCGGGTGGTCGGCGCAGCCCCGTCGGCGATGCGGCTCGATGTGGAGCCCGAAGTTTTCCACGGCGACGGCGCTGATGCATCGCCGACGTCGCCGGTGCATCGTCGTCGATGCGGCGCGATCTTCCGACCCATTCCAACCCATTTGAAACCGCAACTGATATGGGGCGTGGTCAGTTCATTAGCACGTGAGGGGCAATCACGATTCCAACATGACGGGGCGTGTCAGCGGGCGGACCTTGTGCAGCAGACGGGTAGTGTGGAAGAGAACGATGGGACTTGTTCAGGGTTTCAATTTGCCCCCCCTCCCCCCACCCCAATCCAGGTGCAAGGCCGTGCGATCAGATAGAGACCACTCTTCGCAAGCCCCTCGCCCTTGATGCGTTCTGCCAAAGCCCGCGGCCCATGATGTTGGCTAGTGCGCGCAAGTGCACACTGCAAACTTCCACAGTTTGTAGCTTTTGGAGATGAATGGCATACATAGGCATACGCATATGTACATGTACGGTTCACACATCTGTTTATCTGGGTTCGCGTACGTGTGTGTGTGTGTTTGTATTATAGTAAGCATGTGTGTGCATGTGTGTGTAGATGGAGCTGTATGTATCTATATGTCCCTCTCTCTATATATGTATGTATGTACGCACATAGGTACATATATATATACACACATGCGTAAACATGTTGGCCAGCATGGGCCCCAAACAGTGTGCTTCCTAGGACGATGTGGGGTGCAATCTCTGTGGAGCAACGATATGTGTGGTGTAGCCTACGTGGTTCACCCTACGGTGCGCAATCGATTTGTACAATATATGTGATGCAGTCGGTGTTGTGCAGTCTAGGTTGTACAGCATATGTGTGCAATATCTTTGGTGTAGCCTATGGGATACAGCATATGCAGTGTAATTTATGTGGTGCAATCTATGTTGTGCAATCCAGGCGGCGACGGGACGGCGACGGCGACCACGTAGCCGTTAGACCGACATCAAGGTCCATGCGACGGGCGGCGACGAGGCGGGACGGGGCGGGGACGCCAACCACCAGGGGGGGGACCCGACGTGCAAGTCCGAACGACGGGCTGCGACGAGGCGGCCACGGGGCAGCGACAGCGACGACGTATCCGCCAGACCGCCAGACAGGCCCAGGCGACGGGCTTCGACGAGGCAGCGACGGGGCCGCGATGGCGAGAGCACGGCCACCGGGACCGACGGCCAGGCCCAGACGACGGGTGGCGACGAGGCGGCCACGGGGCGGCGACGGCGAGGACATGGCCGCGGGACCGACGGCCAGGCCCAGCCTCCAAGACCATAACCAAGAAACCTCCAATGCCAACACTGTCTGGGGAACTACAGTCGGGGCGCTGAAGAAGGAACCCTTTTCGTTGGGTAGGGGCTCGGTGTTCCTTAATTGTTCTACAGCTTGCTCAAGATTTTACGTAGGTTGTCGATGGGACGCCGAAGTTCAGCTTATGGACAGAAGGTGCCTCGTTCCTTATGTTGGGGTTCCTGAGGTCAACGCCCCGACTGCAACATGGTTGACGAAGCAGTCATGCAGGGCCCCACCCACAAGTCCAAAACGAGTCTCGACCCCCGGATGCCTCCGGCGCGCTGCCGCAGGGCATACCATCGTCGACCTCTTTGACCTTCCGGGTGGAGGAGGGGGAGGAGGACGGGAAAGGAGGAGAACGAGGAGGATGAAGAGGATGAGGAGGATGAAGAGGATGGGGAGCGAGGAGGAGGAGGAGGACGTGTTAGAGACTGTGCTGGAGGAGGACGGGAAAGGAGGGGAATGAGGAGGAGAAGGATGAGGATGAGGAGGATGAAGAGGATGGGGAGCGAGGAGGAGGAGGAGGAGGAGGAGGAGGACGTGTTGGAGACTGTGCTGGAGGAGGAGGAGGAGGAGGAGGAGCAAGGGGAGGAGGAGGAGGAGGAGGAGGAGGAGGAGGAGGAGGAGGCGGAGGGACAGCACAAGTCGGTCGCCCTGGCCTGTCCGGCCGATCTGGCCGGCTCCAGAGCAATCTTGGGTCTTGTCGTATCCACATCCGCCCGCCTAATTAACGTCCCCTCGTCTCACCCATCCCCCCCCTCCCATCCCTCTTCTTTCCTCATTCCTCACTCGTCTGGCCCGTCCTTCTCCCCCCCTTCCCCTCCCACGTTTCTCTTTCCCCCCTCCCTCTGCCTACCATCGTCCTTCCTCCCCTCCATCCCTCTGCTTTCCTCCCCTCCGTTTCTACAATTACTGAACATGAATACACTCTCCTCCATCCCCTGATGGCGTGCGGAAGACAGCGGGCACCCATCCGCGTACTGTTTTTTACAAAGGATTTCCCGGAGTTGGGCATTCGCTTGGGTTTTTTTCAAAATGCTGCTCTCGCTGAGGCGCCGGCCTCATGTTCGGGCTTCCGCTCGTTCCGAATCGTGCTCCCGCTACAGCGTGGGCCTCATTTTCGGATCGGTGTTTTGCCTCCGTCGTTCAGGATGGCGTTCTCGCCCCAGCGCGGGCCTCTTCCTCGCGCGCCCATCCGCCCGCCACCACCGCGCCCCGCCCCGCCCACCGCCACTTCCACCCAACAACGCACGGACGCACGCACGCACGCGCACCACCACCGCGCACCGCCACCACCACCCCACTACCCCACCCACCACCACCACGCTACACCGCGTCACACCACATCACATGCGCGCGCACACAGACACACACGCACGCACGCACGCACGCACGCACACATACACACACACACACACGCACACACACATACACACACGCACACACACACACACACACACGCACACACACACCACCACCACCACCGCCACCACCAACACCGCCATCACGCACGCACGCACCTGGCCCACCACCAAACCACCAAGACGCCACACCACGTCACACCACAGCACACGCGCACACACGCACACACACACACCATTACCACCACAACCACAACCACGCACACACGCACGCACGCACGCGCACCACCACCGACTACGCACGCGCGCGCGGAGCCACAGGTCCGCTACGACACGAGTCCGCGGATAGAGAAAATCAGCGCCATGGTAAGGGATGGGAGGGAGGGGTAGGACGTCAGATACGACGCGAGCGCACATAGCTTGTCCACCCCCCATCCCTCATCCCCCATGCATTCCCTCCTCCCGCCTCCCCTCCATCCCTCCCTGCATACCCTTCCCTCCATCCTCACCCTTCCCCCGACTCCTTCACGACGCGCTGCTCGACGAATCCACCGCCCCCCCAATGCTGCGATGCAGTACTGCTGGCACTACGCCCTCCGCTCGCCTATTGGCTCATGGGGACGGCGGCTCCTTCGAGGGCGAGGCTGCTGCCGCATCCATGCCTGCACTCCCCCTGCTGGTTCGCCAGGGGGGAAGCGGGTCTTGAGGGCAACCCAGATCGACGAGATGTTTCTTTCAATCCGGGCGAATTTCCTCGATTTCGTCCTGCGGGCTGGCCCTGATCCCCCCCGGGACCAAAAACGGATCTGGGGCGCGAAGCTACCCCTGGGAAGAGGGACCGAGCAGGGCTGCTGCTGCGTCCGTGCCTGCGCGCTCCACTGCAGGGCTGCGCATGCCCCAGGCTGTGCTCGGTGAGGGCACCAGCCTCGTGAGGCTGATGTTGCCCAGCGGTGGTAACCCACGGGGACCACAGGGAAGTGAGAGGAGGAGGAGGAGGAGGAGGAGGAGGAGGAGGAGGAGGAGGAGGAGGAGGAGGAGGAGCCCCCTTCTCGGAAGGCCTCCCCTGCCTGCTGCGCGCCGCCCCTGCTGCGCGCCGCTGGCTGTCGGTCAAGCATGTCCCTCTACAGGAGGGAGGTGCAAGAGTGGTGCAGAAATCGTCTGGGGACGATTATCCGACTGTTTTTGAATGGTTAATTCGTGTTGATGCGGTTGGCAAGTGTTTGGTTTCGGCGGCGAGCGAGGGGGGAAGTGAGAAGGAGAAGGCCTTCTCAGAAGGCGGCGGGACTCCTCAGAAGCCCTCGCGCCTTCCGATATGTTTGTCTCTGTCTTGGGAGAAGGCTTGGGAAGCTTCTCAGAAGGCTTGGGGACTTCCGAGCCTTCTGAGAAGGCCCGCCCCGTCGCACTTCCCCCCATCGCTCGCCGCCTATGCTTTGTCCTCCCAGATTCGCCTGCAGGAGGACGTGCCCGACCGGACGCCGGCCTGCCCCGCTCCCCCCCGTCTTTCGCTGGCGCCCGCCCAGGTGACGCGGTCGATGCTGCGCCACTTCGAGGAGGCGGCGCGCCCGGCAGCCCCCCGCGGCCCCCCGGCGCCACCTCGCCCCCCCTTTTCCCCCCTCCGCCTCTCTCGTCCCTCTCCTCCTCCTCCTTCTCCTCCTCCTCCTCCTCCTCCTCCTCCTCCTCCTTCTCGGCCTCCTCCTCGCTCCCCCCCTCCCCCGCTCCCTCGTCCTGCACCCCACCCCTCGGTCGCATCCCCCGCTCCCTCCGCTGGCTTCCCCCGTCTCCCCCACCCGTCCTGCTCCCCCCGTCTCCCCCCCCCCCTCCGCTCCCTCGTCTTGCCCCCCCCCCCGTCTCCCCCACCTTCGAGGAGGAAGAGGGAGAGGATGACGGCGGAGCGACGACGACGACAAAGGCGACGGCGACGGCGACGACGACGACGAGGACGACGACGAGGACGACGAAGGCGATGGCGACGACGACGACGACGCCCTGCAAACGGCACGGCAGGGGCCCGCCGCGTGAGGCAGGCGCGCGCGCGGACTTTCTCCCTCGGCCCGCGCGGGGGGCGCTCCGGCGCGACGCCGCGTGAGGCGGGGGGCAGGGGCCGGGGGGCCAGACGGAGGAGGAAGGGCGGGAGTTGAGGTGGTGTGGCAGAGAGGAGTCGAGGTGGGGAGGGGAGTGTCGAGGCGAAAGGGAGGGAGTTGGGGTGGGGGACACGGGGGCAGAGGAGACAGGAGGGAGGGAGAGGGAGACAGAGAGGGAGACAGAGGGGGGGGAGACGGAGGAGCGAGGGGAGTCCGAGGGAGGCGGAGTGAGGCGGAAGGAGTCGGAGGGACGGATCTGAGAGGCGTTTGGGGTGGGGGAGAGGGGGCGGGGCAGGAGACACGCTGCCCCGGGCCCTGCCCCCCGGGTTTCCTCCCTCCTCCTCCTCCTCCTCCTCCTCCCCCTCCCCCCCCCTCCCCTCCCCCTCCCCCTCCCCCTCCCCCTCCCCCTCCCCCTCCTCCTTTTCCTCCTCCTCCTCCTCCTCCTCCTCCTCCTGCTCCTGCTCCTCCTGCTCCTGCTCCTGCTCCTCCTCCCCCTCCACCCCCATGTCCTCTCCCTCCACTCTCCTCCTCGCTGCCAGGAGGGACAGGAGGGGCGAGGGGGGAGGAACAAAAAGTGGGAAGAGAGGGGAGGATGTGGACTAATGGTGTAGTACATCTCGGACGGTCTGGTTGAGCACAGCGGACTGTAAAGCAGGCGGGCCCGACTTCTTGGCCAGTGGGGGCGGGGCCTGCACCAGAGACCCCGCTGTTCGAGGACCTGGGAGGAGAGGAGAGGCAGGCGATGACGTGGATCACGAGGATAGAGACGGGGATGGGGACGGGGGACAGGCAGGGGGACGGGGGAGAGGCAGATGACACAGCGGGGGAGGGGAGGAGGCAACAGGATGAGGCGAATGTGGATGGGAAGATATAGGATGGCAGACGAGGAGAGAGGATGGAAGAGAAGGCCCGAGGAGGAGGAGGAGGAGGAGGAAACTTGAGGAGGAAAGCAGAGCGAGAAGGAAGTGAAGGGGAGGAGGCAGGATGATGATGGGGGGGATGAGGAGGACGACGCCGAGGATTCGTGGCAATGCTGCTGGCCTTACAAGAGTGGCTCCGCAAATGAGGCATGCTGGTACCGCGCTCTCGCCCGCCTTCCTTCTAGCTCTCGTGCTTCCACTCCTCGCTATCGTCCTCCGCACTCCGCCCCAGACATGGTGCGTGGCCCCCGGGGGAGTTCCAGCTGAGGCCCCGGCCCCGGTCATGGTGGCTCCAGCGATGGCACGGCCGTCGCCGTCGTCGGGGGCGTCTTCGGGGGCCTGGTCCGCCGACGGCGGCACTTCGAAGGGCCACCGGTGCTGCAGAGGGCCGCCACCCTCGTGGCTGCTGCTGCTCGTGCGGCGCAGGGTTGCTGGGGGTCCTCGGCGCTCCCCGGGAGCGTTGCCGCGCGTGCCGCGGTGGCCGCGGCGGCGTGGGCCCCATGCGCGCCCCGCGCCCGCCGCGGCGGCTGCTCCTGGCGCCAGGCATCGCTCGGACGTGTGCATCTTTCTTTCGGCGAGGACCATCGAGGAGCATCCTTGACCATTCGGCGAAAAAGCCACGCACGAAACCGAAAAAAGCACAGGGAGTGGACGTCCGAGCGATGGCCGCGCCAGGCGACGATCCCAGTGGGAGGGCCACGACGGAGGCGAAGCGCGAGCGCCAAAGCCAACGGCGCGCCCGCCTCGGCGGGCTGCGATCTCCCTGGGGTGCGGGAGGTCGGCGGCCAGTTCGGCTTTGGGGGTGCGCAGGAGGCGGACGGGCCCTTGGCGCCCGACGTGCCCGAAGCTGCTGCCTCGGACGGGCTCGGCGACCTCGACGACTCCTGGGCCGACACCCGCCGAGGCGGCGCCGGGGCGCGAGGCAGCAGCGGCGGCTGCTGGCTGCGGCAGCGCCCGCGGCGGGGGCGGCGGCGCGGCTGGAGGCGGCGCCAGCGGCCTCGATGGCGGACGGCCTCCTGCGCCGGGCGCCCGGCTGCGAGCCGCGGGCCCGCGTCGAGCTTCAGCGCATGCTGGGGTCCGTGGGCCGGCGTTCGGTGGCCCGCGAAGCTGCGGGGAGCATGCCCTCGGGGCCAGTGCCCTCGGGGCCAGTGCCCGCTGTGGGTGCGAGCCTCTTGGCATCGCTCGGACGTGTGCATTTTTCCTCGGCGAGAACTATCGAGGACCATCCTGGACCATCGAGCAACAAAAAACACGCGCACGAAACCGGGAAATGCACGGGAAATGGACGTCCGAGCGACGGCCAGGCCTCTGCGGGGGCGGGCGGCGGCGCGCCCTCGCCCGAGGCGACGGCGGCCTCGCTGCCCCCGTCGGCGTCGCGCTCTTGCGGGTGGAGGCCGCGTCGGCCTTCGCTCGCCCGAGGCGACGGCGGCCTCGCTGCCCCCGTCGGCGTCGCGCTCTTGCGGGTGGAGGCCGCGCCGGCCTTCGGGGCCGCGCGGTGCCCCTCGGCACGGCAGGCGCAGGCCTAGAGCGGGCGTCGCCTGCCTGCAGCAGGCATCGCGCACCGCGCGCGCGGATGCAACAGAGGAGGCCCCCCAGCTCAGAGGAGGAACAGCTACTCCAGATCTCGTAATGAAAGGGAGGGGGTCTGGCCCTCCAAGACAAGCCATTTCAGACCCCCCCCCCGTGGGAGAACCCTCCAAAACGTCGTCCCCAGACCCCCCCAGGCCCCTCCAAGATAGCCGGGAAGAGACCACCCCCCCCGAAATGAGACCCCCCTCCCTTTATTACGAAATCTTGAGTACCCATACCTCTACTCTTCGCCCGTTTTCCCCTCTTTGGGCATCCCCGGAGGCCCTCGTCGCCACCGCTGGACTCGCCTCGACATTCTGGCCCAAAATGCACCCCGGGAGAGGTCCAGGGAGTGACTGTATCGGCACCTCTTGTTTTCCCCACCGGCGGCTCTGGCACAATCCTCACGTGCTTCGTGGCCCCGTGAGGAGCTCCAGTCAAGGCCCAAGTGGGCACGTTCGCGCGTTGGCGCCGCGGCTGTTGCGGCACGCCCTTCGCACGCTTCGCGGCCCCAGAGGGAGCTCCACCGAAGGCCTTGATGGCGACGCTCGCATGTGGGCGTCGCGCCTGTTTCTGGTACACCCTCACGAGTTACGTGGCCTCTCAGGGAACTCCAGTTGTGGTGGCGTTTTCATGTGGGCGTCGTGCCCGTGTCGGCAAACCCATCACACGCCTCGCGGCCGCACGGGGCATTTCACCGAATGCCCCAGTGGCGACGTTCGCATGCGGGCGTCGCGCTCATTTCGACACATTCCTCACACGTTTCGTGGCCCCGTAGTGAACTTCACGGAAGTCCCTAGTGGCGAAATTCGCATGTGCGCGTCGCGCGCCTTGCGGCATACCCTTCACACGGTTCGCAGCCCCGGAATTCCAGATAAAGGTTTTGGTGCTCTCGTGGCTTTCGTAAACCCCTTACGCGCTTCGCGGCCCCATAGGGAGCTTCAGCAACGACCCAAAAGGACGCGCGCACATGTTGGTGCCACGCGCGTTTCGGCATTCCCTCCGCACGGATCGGGGCACCATGGGGAGCTCCACCCAAGGCCGTAATGGCGACGTTCGCATGTGGGTTTCACGCCCACTCTTGTCAACCCCTTACACGATTCGCGGCCCTACGAAGAAATCCAGACAAGCCCCCAGGGGTGGTGCTTACCGCATAGCGCCCCCCTGCCCAATTCGGTACTCTCACACGTTTCGTGACCCCGTGTGCGGGAGCTCCACTCGAGGCTTCAGTTTGAGCGTCCGCATGCGGTTACCTTAGTGGGACCTGGAAATGACAGGGCCGTTTTTTTTACCGGTTCCGTTTTGCCGTTTTTTTGCCGGTTCCGACGCCGTTTTTTTACCGGTTCCGTCGCCTTTTTTTACCGGGCCTGGCTCCGGGTCCAATCCTGGAGCCGTTTTTGTTGCCGTTCCCGGTCGCCGTTTTTTTTTGCCGTTTCCATTTTCAAGGGACATTTTTTCGGAAACGGTGAAAAAACAGCCCTGCCGTTTCCGGGGCCCAAAAAGGCGGTCACCCGCCCATGTAGGCGCACCCCTCATACGCTTCGGGGCCCCATACGTTTTTTCTTTTGACAGAGGCCCCTATGGGTACGACACCAGCGGTTTTCGTCCACTCCGGCGCGCCCGTCACACGTTTTGTCTCCAGTCGGTGCGTCCACATGCGGTTCTTTGCCCATGCCGGCACCGCCCCTGCACGTTTAGTGGCCACAGAGTGAGATCCGCTTCCATCGTCCCGCCGACGTTGCGGCATTCACATTTTCATTTGGTTGGGCAGATCGCTGGCATAAGCTATTTTATTTCCGCACATGTATGATCAGAGTTCTGAAGCCGTGCATCTCCATCACGGATGCAGGGTAGTTAAATCCCAAAAAGGGGATATGATTTGACATTTGTTTAGATTTAACCGCGGCTCCAGGATGATAAAGGCCCCCCCCTTGACAGTCCACTATCCCCGGCCAGTACAGAGCTGGTCGGGGGAAAAAGGTGGCAAGGCCGAACTTGTTTTCGGGGGGGAATTGCGAATCGAAACTGTGAGAGCCCAAGCACAAGACCTTCGAAGAGGCAAGCGCTGCAGCGCTTGCGTGCCCGCAATCCCCCCGTGCAAGGACGGCTCCAAGTGATGCCGAGCCTGCATGTGCGATTGCTTCGAGATTGTTCGCAAGACAGGTTTGTTGGCGAAGAGCGCCAAGGACCTCCAGAATGTAGGCACATGTTGGGTGTCAGATCTCGAGGGGCGCCAAGGACCATCAGAGCGAGGATCTCGAGGAACGCCCAGGATCATCAGCATCATCGTCGTCGTCATCATCATCACCACAATCACCATCAGCATAGTCATCATCATCGTCGTCATCTGCCCAGAAAGCGTTTATTCTAGCCAAGGGGCCTCGATTTTTATAACCCCCAGGGGTTTGATATCTGGGGCAGTTGGTTAATCATCCAGCCTCTGTGCGCTCCCCTCAGCTACAAAGTTGGCGGCTGCACCTTGTACACAACGGAGTCTCGCTTGAGTTGCAGGCTTACTGTGCGCCCGCCACTCACACCGGGCGCATCCAGGGTTCATTATGGTCATTCTCCTCTTCGCCTTTCTCTCCGCCCCCCCCTTTCCTGGCGAATATGCCGCGAGTCCCGCAGTCTCGGCGGGGCCCTCCGGAGCGGGAGAGGCGAGGGGCGTTTTTGGTCTGCACGGCCAGCGCCGCGCTGGGCAGGCGCTGCGCGTGTGTCATCGCTGCTTGTCCTCTTCAGTCGTCCGTCGATTCGGTGATTTGCTCAACCTCGCTGCGTCCTCGTCGTCCTGCTCGTCGTCGTCGCCGCCGCCGTCGCAAAACGCGATCGCGGGGAGACGTGACAGGATGTGAGATACCAGAGGTGATGGGAGGGGGGGCGAGGGGAAATAGAGAGAGAGAGGGAGAGACGAGAGGTGGAGGAGGAGGGGGAGGAGGGGAGGACGAAGAGGACGAGGAGGAGGAGGAAGGAAGAGGACGAGGGGGAGGAGGAAGAAAAGGAGGAAAACGAGGGGGAAGAGGTACAGAGGACGGGGGGGAGGTTGTGTCGGGGCGGGATGAGGAGGGCGGAGGAGTTTTCCGAACCTTGTTCATCCTTCCCCCATCCTTAACTCCGTCCGTGCGCGAGTCTCCGCCCATATATTTCCCATCTCCTCCTCACTTTCTTCCCCATCGTTCTTTTCAGTTTGTAATTTCGTCCGTCCCTCCATTCCCCCACCCTCCTGTCACGTCACTTTGCCTCGCCCTCCGTCTCCCCCCCCCCCCGCCCTTCTCACCCTCCCCGCATCCCGCCTGCAGTGCCTTCCCTCCCCTTGCTTTTTGTCCCTGCCCCCCCTCTTGCCCGTTGTCTGTTCCCTTTCCCCACCCGCACCTCCACCCTTGCGCTAGCATCTGCGGCAGGGCTTCGTGGACCACTGCAGCGGCAACTACTTCGCGCCCCACTGCGACTTCACACCGGCCTCCGGTGCCTGAGGCCGCCGGCGCGCGCCCGTCCCCCGTCGATTCTCGACGCCCCGGCCTCTCCCCTCCCTCCGCCCCCGCGGCCGCCCCGCGCTTGCCCACTCAAGCAGTGGCGAAGCGCCCTGGCTCGCCTATAGCCCCACCAGAGAATGTTCTACGAACCTTTTGTGGTTTCCACGAAATGGTCTTAGAACGTTTCTGGCGGAGCGTAGTCTGTCTTTTCTGAACACATCGGGCTTATGGTTTAAAATCGTTGTTTTTACCACATTCTTGGGTTCTAAGGACACTTCGAAGTATAACTATAGGAATGCCAGGGCGGTCGGCCCCTTCTCAGTCCACCCGCCCCAGCGCGCCCTGCGCTTGGCGCGACCCGCCAGCTGTGGCCAGACGGCCTTCTCGCGACCGCCAGCGTCGCATGAAACAAATAAATCGTTATATATACATATATATGTATATATATGTAGGTATATATATACATAGTTATATATCTATGTATATAAATTTATACATGTATATGAATATATAATATTATATATATATATATATATATTATATATAACTATGCGTAATTGTATATATATATATAGATCTACGCGGCGGGGTTTGAGCACGGCGCCCCTTCCCCGCCCGCGTCGAATGTCGCGCCCCTCGCAGCCGCCCCGGGCCCGCCGCGTCGGGCCGCCGGCCGCGGCCATGGACGGGGCCGGGCGCCCCGCGGATGCCAGGCGGCGTCGCGCGCGGGCCCCAGGGGGGACGGACCCGGAAGGGCACGACGCTTCGACCTCCGCCTCCTCTTCCCCTGTTATCTTAGTCCTCCTTCTCCTCCCTCCTCCTCCTTTCTCCTCCTCCTCCTCCCCCTCCTCCTCCTCCTCCTATTCCTCCTCCTCTCAGCCTCCTCCTCATCTCCATCCTCCACCTCCTCCTTTTTTCCTTCCGTCCCTCCTCCTCATCCTCCTCGCGTGTTTCTTCTCATCCTTTTCCTCCTCCCCCCCCCTCCCCTCCTCCTCCTCCTCCTCCTCCTCCTCCTCCTCCTCCTCCTTCTCCTCCTTCGTTCCGTATCCGTATGTATAATTCCTCCTCGTCGCGCCCCGAGGCCCGTTTTTTTGTTTCTCTTCCAGTTGTGATTTTAAACGTTAAAAAGGCGACAACCGTTTCACATATGGAGGGCGGGTGATTTTCAAAATGTGATTGTCGCCTCAGCGCAGCGCACATTCGTTCTGAACAATTGCGAGAGCTTCACGGATCGAGGGCGGGCCGTTGCTAAAATGCGTTTCTCGCTTTAGCGCAGCGCAAGTGCGTTTTAAACACTTGCAAGGGCTTCACGGAATGAGGGCGGGCCGTTTTCAAAATGCAGTTCTCGCCTTAGCGCCGCGCGCGTTTTTTTATAAGACATACATGTGTTTCATGGGTTGATGGAGGTTCCTTTTTCAACATGTTGCTCTCGCTTTAACTCCTCACACCTTTGCGTTTCAAACTTTGCAAACGCTTCACGGATTTATGGCGGGTCGTTTTCACAAATGTGTTGTTCGCTTTAGCGCAGCGCGCAACCGCTGTCAACAGTTGCAAGAGTTTCACGGAATCCCATGATCAGCGTACCAGAAAGGTGCTGTGAAAATACTCAAGAATTCGCGGGTGCAGCAGTTATGATGGTTCGCCGTGTTGAAGTTCCAAAAATGGAGCTCTGGCGCGATTCCGGATCGTCAAGACGCAGCAATCACGTTGATACGTGGCGTTGAAATTCCGAGACCGATGTTTTGGCGTGTTTCTGGATGTTCAAAGAGTTGTTTTCCAACTAGGCAGTTCCCTCAATGGAAATGAACCGTTCAGGGGACCTGTGAAAAAAAGGGAGCTTGGAGGGAGGATTAATCCCAACATCGTTGATGGCCCTTGGCTTTGCAGTGGTCCTCCTCCTCCTCGTCCTCCTCCTCCTCCTCCTCTTCCTCCCTTCTCCCTCCTCCCACTCCTCCTTTTTCTCCTCCTCCTCTTCCTCCTCCGCCTTTTTTTCGCATGTTTCTCCAGTTCCTCCTCCTCCTCTTCCTCCTCCTCCTCCTCCTCCTCCTCCTCCTCCTCATCATCATCATCATCATCATCATCATCATCATCCCCTTCCTCCCCGCGCCTCCTTTTCTGTTTCCTCCTTGTTCTTCCTCCTCGTCGTCGTTTTCGTTCTGCTTCCCCTGCTGCCCTCTCTTGTGGCCCAGCGGGCCCCTCTCCACCGTCCAGGGGGGAGGGGCCCGCTCTGCTTCCCCTGGGGGCCTCCCTGGGGGCCCCTGCACCGCGGCCGGCCTCGCGGAGCCGATCTCGAAAGGGGGGCGACAACCAACCCGATCACAGTCATGCTCGAGTAAAACGACGCGAAGATCGGGACAAAATCGGATCGGGATAATTCGAAATCTCTGAGAATCGGCGGGTTTGGAGGATGTATTGGTCGCCGCGGCCGCTCCAGAGCGTTCCGGAACGCTCTGAGAGCGTTCCGGAACGCTCTGGAGCGATTTATCCCGATCCTAGCCCTGTTTCGTCGAAAGCTGGAACATGTACATCACCAGTGGCGGGCTCTCTTTCAATCCCAGGAGTTTTTGCGAAGGTCGGGGACGACGTCGGGGTGGTGTGGTGTATATTTGTTCCCGTTTCCCCCGGGAAACAGCAGAAACAATGTATACGTCAGGACCCCGCGTATACACGAGGATCCGTGTTCTCGTGAGAGTTCCCGTGCAGGGCTGGAGGAAACGTTGGTGTATAGAGTTCGTCTCCCTACACGTCGGACTGTTCAGAAGCGGAGTGGCGCCGACGGGCCGATGGCGACCGCCAGAATTGTTCGGATTCCAGGCTAGCTCAACCAGAGAGTAGTTAAATGTTCACGCCGCAGGAGAAACACGTTTTTCGCGCGACACCTTCGGAATGTCTGTGCGGCCTCGTAGGAGCGTTTGAGCGGCCTGTTGATGGCCTCCGCACAGCCTCTCAGTAGTCTTCGAGATCTTTCCGCGAGGTTTCTTGATGGCTTGCAACAGTTTCCCACGAGGTCTCTTCATGGATTCCGATCGGTTCGTGCACGGTCGATTCAGGGTGTCCGCGAGGTTTCTGCGAGGCTTTAGATTGTCCGGAAAAGGCTCTCAAGAGGATTGGAATATGGTTTTGAGCATGCACACGGGAGGTTCTTGGAGGGCTTGTGGGCGTTTTTGATGGGGTTTCGATCGGGAGATCTGGAAAGTCTCTCGAATGCGTACTGGGAATCTCTCGGACGCCTCATAAACATTTGGCAGAAACCCTACGGATACCTGTCGGACCCCCCAGAGCAGGCCGTTCGGAACCCGCTCGGATACGTAATTACAGGCGTCCGAGAGACTCCCCCGAGACGTCCCAGAGGTTGTCCGAGAGACTTCCCCCATGTGTTCCGATCGTTTTTTGGGGAACTCTCCGAAGGCTTCCGGGAGGCCTCGTGGGGGCCTTGCCGGCGGCCTCTGAGATACAGGCCCAATAATGATGTATTCCAGATGGCTCGGGGGTGGACAGAGCCCCCAACAGTGACACGTCGATTAGTGAATTGTCCGTTTTCGGTTCTCGAGAGGGCGCCGTGGCCGTTATTTTCCAGGCCTGCGCCCGCCAGGTTTGGGCCTCTGGTCGTTTTCACTAAACCACGTTTTGCTAAAGGGGGGTCTGTCCATCCCCGACAGATGGCAGGAGTGCCCACTGCTGGCCACAGCTCCAACAGCCATGCGGTCAAAAAACCCACGAGAAAAGAAGATGGGTGCGGTCGCTCGGTCGGATCCGTAGGTCGACCCTGCCAAAGCAGGGGCACCCGTCGTGTCCTGTGTCTCGCGGCCCATGCCTCCCGCATTCCTGTGGCAGTGTGGCCCTCGGAAGGGCCTTCTGTCCTCGGGCGTGTCCTCTCTCCAAGGAGGGCCGACTGTGACCTTCCCGAAGGCTGGTCCTCGCTTCCTTGCCTCTGTCCTTGACCCCTTCGAGCGGCCATCCCCGCTCGAAACTCTTCGACACGAGCTGCCCCCGACCAATGACGTAATCTCGCCCAACCCGCGCCGACACCGACACCAAGGACTTTCTTTCCCTCCTCCTCCCCCTCACCTCCTAACTTTTTACATGTCTCGCATCGCATGAATCCAGACACCTCAGATCCTAGAGGCCATGGCCTCACCCACCTGGTGTGCCCTAGGCCCGGACGCTGTCCGCAACAGTGGTCGCATCGCATCGCATCGCATCGCATCGCATCGCCCGTGCGCCCCCCCCCCCGCAGGTGGGGCCCGCCGGTCCGGCGCGAGGGCCCCGCGGAGAAGCCGCGGCGCCGGGCGCCGCGGGCGAACGGGCACGCGCGGAGGCGGCGGAGGAGGAG